GCCCCCATCCCAAGCCCCAAGCCCAGAGAAAGGGCAGCCAGAGCAGAGACAGGGCTTCCCCGGCCAAGGGTCCCCAGGAGCCACCTCCTTTCCTGAGGGGCTGTCGTGAGCTCTTGAGAAAGAACTGGGCATTGATTTTTGTCTGTGGACCGTCTTGTGTCAATATTGAAGACGGATGTTTGTGCACAGCGAGTTCTCACAGGGCCTGCTGGTAGAGGCCGGCTGTCCAGGCCCCGGGCTTTGTCAGCGCAGGAAGAGAGTGTGGGGACGGCGGGAACAGAGTCGCCTCCCACCCAGGATGGAGAAGCTGTGGGGGACCCCAGCGGGTTTGAGGATAGGGAGCAATGCTCAGAGGAGGCCGACGCGGTGCCCGGGCCTCCCGGCCATCAAGATGATGACAATAATGCAACAAATCCGGAGTCCTTTTAGCTACGCGATGCCTGGCCAACCATTTCAACCCTTTATTTACCAGGTTCTGTCATAAAAATGTGGTGAAAGAAAACAGTGAAAAGGCCTCCACTCTGAGAGACTTTGCTTTCTTGTTTTCGGGACCCCCACACCACGCGCCTGGGGGAAACCCCGTGGGTAGGCACTGGGCTTCCAGATGCATGGCCAGGGCGCGGGGGGTGGGGGGGCGTGCGCGTGTGCAGAAATGGGGCGTCAGTCAGGACAGCGCCACTGTCCTTGGGGTCCTGGAGGGAGACGCGCCCCAGGGTCCCTGGGGCTCCCTGCTTCTCTCCAAGGCCAAGGGCAGGAGAGCCTCGCCTGCCTGTGTGGGGCGTGCTTCCTCCGGCTTTCTGGGCTGCGTTTTCTCTCCGTTTGCAATGCTGGCAGCCCGTGGGGCTTCCAGGCTCACTGGAAGCGTGTTTTTTGTTTTTGCTTTTTGGTACCGGGGATTGAACGGGTCCTTGTGCTTGTGAGGCGGGCGGCGGAACCACTGAGCCAAATCCCCAGCCCATGGAAGCGTGCTTTAATGTTGTAGCCTCGACCTCGTAGGTTTTGCTGGTGCTTGTTACCAGCCTGGGGTTCTTGAACATTTATGAACCCGTCTTTGTCCTGAGCCAGGCCAGCGGACGTGAGGAGAGGGGCTCTCAGCAGCCGTTGGTGGGACTCGCAGGGAGGAGCCCCCCAAATCCTGACTGTTTTCCTGGGATGGGGGAAACTGCCCGTTTTCCCTTAATGTGTCCTCCCTCAAGGGCCAGGAGGGATCTGGCTTCCCTAAATTAGGAGGGAGTGGAGTAAAACTCCCGGGGCCTTTTTGGGGGGCAGCAGTGCTGGGCCATTGCTTGAATGGCCTCGGTTAGAACTCATATTTTATTAGACAGCTCCAGCCCGGAGCAGTCTAATTATAGTCCCTGCACCCGGGGTGGTGTGCGTGGCTAATATAATAACAATGTTGTAGAATATAATTATTCTAATAACATCATATTTTTGAATGTTTATTTTGTGCCAGACTTCTCCCTTTCTTGTTAATGCCAAGGGCTTCTGATATGTAGCCTCACTTGTGTAACATTTAAAAGTCATTTTTTAAACTGATATATCAAAGTTATTCTTGTTTGGGGCAGTGCTGGGGATCGAATTCAGGGCCTCCCACATGCCAAGTGCTGGCTCTGCTACTCCGCCGTAGCCCTGGCCCAAAACTGAGGACCGTGGTGTGATATTCAGTTGCACGTCTACATTATTCCACTGTGTAATGTTCAAATCGGGCAAGCTTACCCATCCTGAAACATTTATCAATCTTTTTTTTCTTTGGTACTGGGGATCAAACTCGGGACCTTGCACTTGCGAGGCAGGCGGCAGCGCCACTTTTCATCGGGCCTTTATGGTGAGCATGTCCCAGACCCCTTCTCCTAGCTCTTTTCACTGCCTCTCAATGACCTTGGAGGAAACAGCAAAGTCTCCACCCCCAGGGATACCACGAGGAAGCTGGGATCAGAGAGGGAGCATCGCAGTCCGTGTGCCGGGGCTCTCTCTGTATTTGGACCCTGACCTCTGATTGCTGAATTTCCTGCCTCCCAAGTCTCAGAGGATTCCCACCATTTGGTCCTAACTCCAGACAGCAGTTTCATAGGGTGTCCTCTAGCTTCTGAATGTCTTCTTTTTTCTTCTCATTTATTGAACTCATTCTGCAGTCCAGGCGGGCCTCAAGCTCACAGCGATCCTCCTGCCTCAGCCTCTCAAATTCTGGAATTACAGGCGTGTGCCACCATGCCTGGCCAGAATGTTTTATTTTCAAATCACTTAAAAATAACTCAGTTCTCTACTGGAATGCAGAGTCATTAAATGTCTTGGATGCAGGCCTGGGGCTGATCCCCCGGGTCTCTTCCGGGGATGGCAGGCGTGCCGAGAGAGTGCCTGGGATCTCATTTCCTCTCCCTTCCTTGTAAATGGAGCACATTTTGCATTTTCTCTGTGCCAGGGGCTGCCTGGCACCAGATGCCCATTTTGGGAAATGAGAATAAATAAACAGTGCAAATAAGATACAAACTCCACCCCAGAAATCAGAAACACATGCTCTTTTTCTCCTCACTGGTTCTACACCCTACATGGATGGGGGGTGGCGAAGGGGTCAGATGCCCTGGGGGTGGGCCTGCATGGATCCTCTTGCTTGCACTTTAGCCTGGAAGCCAGGGGGGAGGGGTTCTGGCTGGCCCTGGGGAGGACAGGGTAGCTTCTGGCCCTGGCACCCCTGTAGTGTGAAGGCACAGCGGAAATTGACTCAGTGCACAGGAATGCTTGGCCCTGTCTTCCCGGCTGGGCTGGCCATGCCTCACCCTGTGGTTTCCATACTGGAGGCAACCTGGACTTAAGGATATGGTTGCCCATTGCTGACACCACTCAGCCCTGGATAGCTGCATGGCCCAGCGATTCAGTGATGGCACGCATGTGGGCTGTGGGGCAGAGGGCGGAGACTGTCATTGTCACGGCCTGCAGCATGCCTCCAGGTTGATTGAAGGGTTCACTGCCATCAGTGGTGAGGGGACCTGAGGTTGGAGACGGGACCCCCAGATTTGCTCCTCTGCCCCTCAGGAACAGAGCCTGGGAGTAGGGCCTGCACCCCCAGCCACCCCAGCCCTGGGCAGCCTGCGTGAGCCACACTCCAGGTCCCCCTCTTTTGGGTTTAAGGGAACCGTTAGTTCTGGGAGCCAGACATAGGCCCTTCCCCACCACCCAGGTTTGTGGCCCTGGGCAGCCTCTGTCCAGCAGGGCAGGTTCAGAATCTGAGTTCCTGGCCTGCTCTGCGTGGCTGAGCAGTGAGCCAGGCGTTAAATCAGTCAGTGGGCGCTGGGGGGAGGGTGCTGGCAGACCCCCTCCATACGTGGTCACAGCATAGCTGACGTGGGCCTGGGGTCCTGCTGGAGGATCCAGCTGCTGCTGACTGATGGGGAGCACCTGCCTGCTGGGCTTCGAGGGTGACTGAAGGAGCACTAAGCCGTTCAGCTGTCCCTCCTCAGGGCCCTCCCCCACCCAAGCTGGACGCTCCCATCTGCCGCTGACAGTGTTGCTTTACATCGTGAGTGAGCTCAGCTAAAATGGGGCGCTTCCTGGAATTCCCCCAGCTCCAGAGGATGCGTAAGCTTAGAAGTGACTGGCGCTCTGCCTGTATCAGTTCCTTGGTACCCATTCTGCCGTTGGTTGCTGAGTCCTTTGCCAAATCCAGTGTCCTGCAGATGTGGGGTCTGTGTTACACCCTGGGAAGCAGGGTAGGATGGGAGGTGTGCGGGACCTGCCTCAGCTCTGGAGCCTTCAGAAACCAGCATGGCTGCACCCACTGTTTCCTGGTCCCAGTGTAGGAGTGGGCTTGTGGGAGGGATGCGTAGATGGGCAGGGTTGTGGGTGGATGGGTGGATGGGCGGTGGAGGATGGGTGGTGGATGGGTGGTGGATGGGTGGAAGGATAGCTAAGTGGACGGTGAATGGATGGTGACGGGTGGGTAGATGAATGATGGCTAGATAGGCAGGTGGATCAGTGGACAGATGGTGAAGAGTAGTGGGTGAGTGGGTGGGTGGATGAGTGGGTGAGTAGGCCGGGCCCATGTGGCTGGGTGTGGGTGGCTGTGTGGGTAGATGCGGCAGGACTTCGGCATTCTGGGGAGGAGTCTGCAGCAAGGGTGGCTGTCGGACAGCGGCGACTGCAGGGAGGCATCTGATGCTAGCCTGGGCCCGTGTCTTACTGGTGGGGTTGGGCATGTCCTTGCTGGGCTAGCCTGGAGAGTCCTTGAGCTCCCTGAAGGATGGCTGCATGGCTTTGCCAGGTTGGGGGCACCATGGCCTGGCAATAGGAAGGCAGCTGCAGGTGCCCTTGTTTGGCCCCTCCCGGCAGCAGCCTTTGGCATTTGCTCAGCTTAGCACCTTGCAAATCTCACCGAGCTGGGACCTGCCTGCTGTTGGCCTCTCCAACCAGCAAGTGCTGGCCAAGGGGTGTGGTGTGTGCAGGAGGCGGCGTGTGCAGTGCACCCATGTGGGGCTCTGTTGTTCTCTCCTGGGGAGGGGAAAGAACAGCTCAGCATGCTCCTCCACATCCAGCCTGGCTCTCTCCAGCCCTTGGAGACGAGAGGGCTGGGACGGGGATGCCCACGGGTCACAGACCCTGGTGCAAGAAAACTGTTCTAGGAGAGACTGGCCTGGGCCTGGCTGAGCTCCAGCCCATTTCCCTCTGCAGACTGCCACACCAGCAAGGACGCTTGAGCCCGGCCCAGATCTCCAGATCTCAGAGTCTCAGTGGAATCGGCTCCTAATCACTGTGTGGCCTCAGGCATTGGCTGTCTTATCTTTGAAGCCAGGTAGTGGTGGTTGGGGTAGGAATTGTGCAAAGGGTTTGGCCCAGTGCCTGCATCCAGGTGAGTGGCTGTGACCACTCCAGGGTACAGGTCTGCTGGTCTGGAGTTACCTGGTTCTGGAGCCCTGGCAGGTGCAGAAGTGACACACACGTGTTAAGTACCCACCAAGTGGGACAGCCTCGGTGACCTTGAGTGACCTTTGCCTTTTGTCTGCCTTTAGGAGTCACACGGACCTCTAGTGGCCGTCTCCGGAGGCTTGGCGACCCAGCGGGCCCAGGTGAGTGGCTTGCTTGGCCTTGGCCCTTTCAGACTTGAATCTCCACTTGGCATTTCTGGAGGGCAGAAGCTCTTGCCCACTGCCCAGGGAGACAGCAACTTTGATGGTTCCATAGATAAGTGTCTTCCAGGCCTGTTGACACAGCTCTGCTAGAGACAGCTCCTCTGGGATGGGGGCCACCCACCGCTATGCATAGGACACCTAGGCAGAGGCGAGAGACAGTGGGAGGTGGGTATGGTGGGGGGGGCTGTTTCCTGGTGCTGGGGGCTGGTTGTGCCTCGGAAGGGTAGCTTTGTCTGTGGCTGCTCCGTGCTGAGTCCGTGTCCAGGGTCTCCTCAGCTGGCTCACTGTCACCTAGTGGGGTAGACAATGCCCCGCGGCTGGAGCAAAGACTTGGCGCCATCCAGGGCTACATCAGTGGCCCCTAATGAGGCGTCACACATAGTTTTTGGGTGTTTTTGTGTGTTTGAAATTTTTCCTCAATAACCAGCGTGTGTGTGTGGGGGGGGAGTGGCCAGACACTGTCCAGTCGAGCTTTGGGATGCCAGGAGCAGGAGCTACCTCTCCTGGCATGGAGAATGCTTGCCAACCCCACGGTCCAGCCCAGGCAGAGTAGAGGGACAGCAGGGGATGGGGTTGGTTGGGGGCTCTCCCTCCTTTGACCCCAGGTCTGAGCCTGTGTGTCCTCCCCATGAGCATCCCCAGCCCTGCAGATGTGACCATCACAGGCTCCTCTGTCCTGGAGCCCACCTTGTCACTTCTGGCCAAGCTGGGGCACACGTGTGCATTCTGGTGGCCTCTATTCAGCGAGGACATTGAGTCACAGAGATGCAGGGGTTGGGCTCCCATGAGAAACAGTATGCTCCTGTGTCGGGGACCAACTGGGTGCCAGACCCCAGCTTGGATGGGGGAGATATGGGCTCAGAACAGCTGCTCTAGACGAAGAGACAGAAGCTACAGAAGGACACAGCAGAAACCCACACCAATAAATGGTGAGTCAGGGCTGTCACGAGACCCAGGGCTCCAGCTCACCCTCCTCCAGCTGTCCCGGTCCCTTGAGGAGTCCTTGGGGACAACGGGCAAGACCCAGGACGCCCCAGACCAGCCCTGCCCTGTGGAACAGCTAGCGATAGCACCCCATCTGCCCCGTCTGGGAGGGCGCACAGCCCATAGCCACATGTGCCTGTTGCCCATTCGAAGTACACGTTTTGCGCATTTCTTTTATTCACTCATTCACTTGCAGAGAGCTAATTTATTTATCAGCTTGTGGCCAGTGGCTGGGAAAATGGCGTCCTGGTCCACGCTGGGCCCCGGGATTCTGTACCAGCAGGGTCCCTGATCCCAGTTCCGGGGTCAAGCCTTGCCGCCGGTCCTCCAGGGCTTCGGGCTGTCTGGCTGTGGCCTTCGTTCATGTGAGGAGGATGGCTCTGTGCAGGGCGTGAGGAAGGGTGAGGATGTGTTACTGCGGGCGTGTAGAATATGGTGTGGGCTGCTGCGCGATGCACAGGCTGTGATGGCCACAGGCACAGAGACTGGGTGTGGGGAGGGGAGGCCCCTGGGTCTGCTGAGTGATTCAGCACCCGTGGCTAAGAGGCACTCCGCCCACGGCAGCCCAGCCAGCCGCCACCGCTGGACAGCCCAGCTGCTGCTGTGTCTGGGGCACTTTGGCTTTGAGCTGTCGGCCTCTCCACCCCTACTTCTTGCTGGCCAGCCTCAGTGCAGAGGGCTGGTGGGGCCCAGCAATTTGCAGGGGGCAGGTTGCAGGGGGCGGCATCCTGAGCCGCACGGACAAAGCCTGCTTCTGCCTGTTGCCTTCCTGGGCTCAGCCCGGCCAGTTCTGTGCCGTCAGCACTTGGCAGGGAGGCTTTGGCTGGCTTGGACGCCTAAGGCATAATTTGCCAAAGCCCAAAGCTACAAGCTGGTGATCTGGGTTTTGCCCGGGGCTGCCTGCTGACACACACAGTCCTCTCTCCGGGGCCGCCTGGCTCCGGCCAAGACACCCTTTCCTCTCTTCTCGCCTCCCAAGCCCTGCCTTGCTCTGCTGTGATCCAGACAGGGGGCTGTCTTGGGCCCCAGCCTCCCAATCACCCTGGCCAGTCTGTGGAGGATCCTACACCATCTCCTCCCCAGGAGGGCAGTGGACCACTCCACGGTTCTTCTTCCTGGGTCTCACATCCTTGGAGTTGAGTTTGGGCCTAGGCCAGGAATGGGCACTTGGGGCAAAAGCCACAGTCACACAATGACACAGCCAACCCTTTGGTGAGGTCACTCACTCTCCTTCCTGATGTTTTAAAATATAGAATTGTTGGACATATGAAAACACATAAAGAATAAAATACCAAGCCAGATGTGGTGGTATACACCTGTCACCCCAGTACTTGGTGAAGTCGATGTAGGAGAATCCTAAATTAGAGCACAGCATAGGCAACTTAAAGACCCTCCTCAAAATAAAAAAAATAAAACAAGGGTTGGGGAGGTAGCTCAGTGTGAAGGCGCTGGATTCAATCCCCAGTACAAAAGAAAGAAAGAGGAAAAGAATAGCGAGACACCTAGATACCCACTCTCCTGCCTAAGCAACGGGGCATTATAGGTGCAGCCGAAGCCCCACAACCCTCTCCAGCCCACCCTGCTCCTCTGACTTTGCCTCTGGCCCTTTGGGGATGGCTGAGCTGGGCCGTCCTGTGCTTGAATAGTCTGTGTCGCTGGTAGGGCCTCCTGTAGGGTCAGCGTCACATAACTGCTGTGCTCCTGGGTCAGCTCCGCTTTCTGCTTGTTCATCCAAACTGGCGGCCCTGAGATTCAGCCACAGGGTTTCGTGCAGCTCTGGTTCACACGTGGACTCAGGCCAGCAGTTCCACGCGGGAGTGGCTTATCCATTGCTTGGCCTGCCAGTGGGGGGTTGGTTCTCTGTCACAAACGCCAGTGTGTGTGTGTGTGTGTGTGTGTGTGTGTGTACGTGTGTGTGCCCCCAGATGGACTGGCCGGGCTAGACGGATGCCACCTTGGTGCTTCTGAATGGCCTTCCGGTTTGTTCTCCCACACTTGCCCCCTTTCTACTTCCCAGATGGCAGTCCTAGCAGACCTTTGCCCTGGTTCCCACACGCGCACAGTGTTTCCTGGTTACGCCGAGTATCCCTACCCCAGGCTGGGTCCCTGGAGCCTCTTCCTTCTGTGCCAACACCCAGTGTGTCTCCTCCAGGGGTCCTGCTTCTCCACCTGCTGATACCGTCGGGGTCTGTGGCTTCCTCGCCAGCCCCGCCGTCACTCCCAAGCAGTCACTCCCCAAGTCCGCGTCCATCCAGAACCTGGAACTGACCTGACCTGCAAACAGACTCTTTGCAGAGGCAATCAGTTAAAGACCTTGAGATGAGGTCATGCTGCGTTAGGGAGGGTCCTGAGCTGCAGCCACAAGCCGCGGGTCTCCTGGCAAGGATTCTTTCCTGTAGCCCTTGTGAGATCCCAGCTCTGCACTTTGGACTTCTGGCCTCCGGAACTGTGAGAGAGTCACATCCTACGTCCTTGAACTCAGTTTGTGGTATTTGGTTACCACAGCCGCAGGACACCCACGTACCTGCCCCCAGCTGTTGGGACAGACAACCCTTCCCATGGAGGAATCTCATTCTGTGGTTACTGGAAGGCGCTAAAGACCTCTCCCCTCTTGGCCAAGCTCCTGGGGCTGGTGACCCTCCCGCTTCCTGCTGCCCTTCCTCCCTTGATTGCACCTCTGTAAGGCCACCCTGTTCCACCCAGCCTAAGACTGGTGACACTCGGATGTCACTGCTTAGCTGCCACCGTGGCCAGCAGACAGCAGGTGCCCAGAGGGCAGGGCTGTCACACTGCTCCCGCTGTTTGCCAAGGCTCCATGCACGTGTGTCAGCCACGTGAGCAAACCATGGCTCCTGGAGGCAGTCGGGAGGAGAAGGGCCCCGGGGTCTTACTGCCGGGACCTTGGCTTCTTCTTTCTTCTGCCACCCACTGGTGCCCACGCTCCCTTCTGGAGAACCAAGGCTATCAGGCTGGAAGTCCCAGCACTGACCTTAACCTCTGCCTGCCTAGTACCCCCAGGTTGCCAAGATCTTGTCACCACCGCCTCCACCCCGCCACACGTGCACACGTTAGCCTTTGAATGGGCTGCCACGGTGCTGGCCATGTCCTGATCAGGTCTCCACCGTCCCTCCTTGGACACGAGTATCCTCATCCCCACACTCTCTCACTACCACCGTCCCTCCTGTACAGGGCTGATTTATCAAGTGCCTCTGGCCGGGGACGGGGCCAATGGCTCCTTCCACCTAACCACGGTATGTGCATCAGTCCTGGTCACAGCCCTCTCAGGACAGAGCCCTTGTCCCACCCCTCATCAAGACTCAACACTGAGCCCTGGCCGCTGGCACTGATGCTTCCCAGCCTGGCCCTAACCCCTCTCCACCTTTGCCCTTCTGCCTTCCCCCTTCCTGACCCAAGAGCTCTACCTTGGGATGGTCGCCTTATTGTCAGCCCCGGAGGAGTTCTCTCCACAAAGCAGTTCTCTCAGTCTTCTGGTCCCTGCTGGGCTCTGGGATGAAGTGGGTTCCTCTTGTCACCTCCCCTTGGCAGGCCGGCCTTGGTTGTTTCTGTCTCCTCTCCGCTGCTCGGTGGCCTGAAGCCGGCTGATGTGCTCTTCCGGTGCTCCACTGCCGAATTGGATTTAGGAAGAGTTTGGGGAGAATTGGCCAAAATGCTAGTTTAAAATAGAAATATCGGCCTTCTTTTGCTTTTACCGAGACGTAGCTCTTCTCTTTGTTTGCCTTCTGGGGAAGCAAGTTATAGCGGAGACCGCGTCTACAGGGAGGAAGAGAAAGGAACAAAGAGAGGTCTGGGAAAATTGGGTAGACACTGGGTACTTCCAGCTACGTATTTAAATTTAAATTATGGACGTAAGTGAAAAGTTCTGCTCCTGGGCGGCACTGTCCCTCCACACAGGCTTGCTAGCCACGCGTGGCTGCCATACTGAAAAGTTCTTG